AGAGAGAGAGAGAGAGAGAGAGAGAGAGAGAGAGAGAGAGAGAGAGAGAACGAGAGGGCGAGAGACAGGGACAGAGGGAGAACGAGAAAAGCGCGTGCTATTACGCTCGGGGCGTCTTTCAGTGAGAAACACACGCCGATCTATCTTTCGGCATCTCTTCTCTCTCGCGAGCCGAACGTCGTTTCCGCGTCGGCGACTCTTCGCCGGCCTGGGAAAAAGTCCGGCGGAAAATTTCCGCGATTTTATCGACGCGCGCCACACGTCGATACACCGTCTTTCATCGGTATCCGAGTGCGAAGCTTAATGCACGCAGCCGATCGGCCATCTCATGCCGCGTGGCTTTCTGTGGGATCGCGATATCGCGATGTATCTTCTGCCATTTTGAACTAATGAAAAATGATCTGAAGAATGGCCTGACTGTCTTCTAAGACAGGTATGCTCACCCAGCGAAGGAACCCCTTTCCCCATTCTCAAATTATGATGCTCTCTTCTACCTTTACACCGCTTTCTAGAGTTCCTCTAGTCAGAATGAAAATAAAGCATGATTGCTGATTGGCCCATATTCTCTCGGCCATCTTTAGAGATGATGTAAAATTGAAATAACGAAATACATTGCAGTTTATTACTTACTTACTTGCTTTTTACAAAAGGCAGATACTGTCCTAACTCTGACTTGAGGAACTCTACCGCCATCTACCTACGTCTGCCTCGTTCCACTCCTTCCCATTTCACTCCGTGAGAGGATAGAGAGGGGGAAGGAATCAGGGTTGGGCACGTATTATACACTGTATTATACAGTATAATAATATTTATACATTATACTTTTATTATTTAGTATTTATACATTACTATAATAGTTTTATACATATACTTCCTGTGACGCCATCTTTATATCATATGTGTAGTTAATTTTAACTACGTTCCAGTATTCACAGCCAGTATTGAAAATCTATAGTTTATGTCACGTATAGATTTTCAGTATTTGCAGTAAATATCAGAATGCAGACTATAGAGGATTTGCTAGCGTCATTACTATTATTCTAAGTTCCATATTTTGAACTCTCTTTTATCGCTAAAAGCTCTTTTATCGAAAAATTCACCTAAAGCAACATCAATTTTTTCTGTGTTTGATTGGAACGATCTTTCGAGTTTCGGTTTGCAGTTAGTCAAATTTGTTGATGATTTAGATAGCGTTGACCATTTTTTCTTAAAGGAAGAATTTACTTTAAATTCTGACGATAATTTGTATGTAGAACGCTGTAAACGTAATGAATTCATTAATAATAAATAAAATATATAATATATATTTTTTTATACAAAATAATATACAGAAAGAAGAAATATACTATTAGCAGATATTCTCTTAAAAATCCTTTTTAATGATTAATAATGAATATTTACAACGTTTTTATCCATTATCACCTTTTCTATATTTTTTATATTAGATAGAGATAATACTCCAATTATTTATTTCTAACAAAACATTATAAAAAAATCTTGTCAAACAATTTTGTTGTTTTAAGTAAGGTTAGATTTTAAAAAGGAGGTCTGTTCTTTTAGCTGAATTGCTTGAATTGGTGCAATAAATGCAATAAGTTAGGGCGCATTTGCTTTGGCAGAAAGCAGAAAGATAGAAAGCCAATAGAAGAGATAGAACTCGCGCTCGTAGAAAAACAGAAACTATCAGCTACGTAGATAATAATCAACAGTTTCTGTTTTTGTATCAATCCTAAGTATTACACATTTTATGCGTTTTTATACGTATTATACGTATTTTACCGTATAATGTAAAAAACCCTAGAAAATGCTCGAAAAACCCAATCCTGGGACTCCGTCGTGGCTTCGGAACTCCAGGTTGACCCATAGACATAATATATCTAGACCGAGCGTGGAGAAGTGGGGGTAAGAGGCACGTAGAAAAGGATGCATTACGTTTTGAGACTGTGCGTTCTCTCTCATCTCTGTAACACATAACCTTTCTTACGCATACGTTTATACACATGCGCGAATGAGAGAGAACGCAGGGTCTCAAAACGCAATGCATCCCTTTCTACGTGTTCTTACCCCCACTCCTCATATAATGGCAAACGCTCGGTCTAGATATATTATGTCTATGGGTTGACCATATCTGTTCTGGGAACTCTAGGGTCAATGTGCCAACTTTTTGCGGCGAAAGGAGCTCCGCAGTGGGACCAGCTGACCGACCGACCGAGCGTGATCCTTCCGTAACGATATTGTACGCGAGAAACGCGGCCGCGCGATACCGAAAACTCGCGCGGGCGATTTATCGCGCGCGTTCCCAGGATCGAGCGCAGAACCCTGGGCGCAACGAGCAGCAGCGCTACTTCTAATTTATCGCGGCCGCGTTATCACCTCGCGTGGCCACAATACGCATTGTTACGTGTCGATATCTTGCGTTGCCGGAAGAAAGGCGGGCAACGCGAAAGGCTTTGATTGCTCACTCGCTCGCTCGCTCGCTCGTTTGTTCGCTGGAGCGCGTGTTTCGCGTACACGCGAACTATTCTCGAGGCCGGTGGAATCCGCGCGCGCCCCGACGAAAGCCGATGGTGTCATAATGATCCTCTGAGCGGAACACGATCGCCATAAATCAGCGTGCAACGGTAACGCCGCCGCCACGGCGGCGGGATTCATTAGCATTTTTCCGCGCGGGCCCCGCGGTGGGAAAGTGCGGAACGACGTTGACATAGCGCCTAAGCTGGGCTATCGGTGGCAGATTACTCGCGGATAAGGCCGACGATGCAAATTTATACTCGCCCATACGAACCCGCCTGAACAAAACGACCGACCGACCGACCGACCGACCAACGACGTCTGGGAACCGCGCGTGAAACTGACCCCGGAATTTTCACATATGCGCGAACGCACACACACACGCACACATCCCGTTCCATCTCGCGGGTCGGTCCCCCGCACGTTCGCCGCGTTATCACGCTGTGCAATATCTTGATGAGGCATAAACGACGGCACTCTCTCACACCGTCGTGTAATCGCGCCGAGGATCGTTTAATCGATGAACAAATCGTGCGTGATAAATGCACAGATGGACGTTTGTTATGAATCTGGGACATACCGAGATTTGCGCATGAATGTGTATATACACACGCGATTCATAATTGTCAGATGCAACGGGGTCGTCGTAAAATTACGGGAGGGTATTCGCAAGTCAAAGTATCATGAGAAAGTCATGCAATCGTGTGACAATATTCTTATACATGTATCTGGATTATATCTAGATTTTTATAGGTATCTGGATTTGGATGTCGTGTAGATACTTGCTAAACTGAGTAGAGAAATCCTTTATCGTTTTGTAAACTGTTGCTGTAATTGAAAATGGAAGCGCGGTAATTTCCTCTTTCTAACAGTTTCTATTTCAAGTCGCTACGACGTCTACAAGTGGAGTTATTCACGTTTGTATCGGTTCGCGTTCACGATCGACTGACGTTAACACTTTAACGCGCTGTGAGGTAGGTCACGGCGCGACCAGAGCTGCCACATGTGGGACCGAGTACGCGTAACTATAGTGCGTGCAGCGCAGCGCACACAAGCGAAGAACTATGTACGTGTGGGCTGCCTGTCACGAACTATAGCGCTTGGCGCTTCGGCCAGGTTCGGGCGGTGGAAGAGTGCAGACGTACAAGCTGCCGTCTCTCTCCCGACCTATAGCTATAGCTAATACTGCAAGCGGCGAGAATCATGCCTAGGCCTTTTTATTATATCTCGACGCTCACGTGTTGCTTCTCACGTGTGCGTACTTTTACTATTTATTGTTATATTAAATGGAATGTTTTTTACACATAAAATACACTCGTCGTATATTAGTCGGATTTTCATTTATTCTCTTCCCTTCCCGCAGTCTTTTCACAAGTAGAAACGTGTAGCGTCTCCAAAAAATTGCACAATTTGATGTATCCTACGGGGTGGAATAAATTTTTCCGTAAATTTTACGATAACTATTGTTAAGTATAGACTTTCCTCCACAATTAAAAAAAAAGTGGATTTGTACGATTTTTTTTCACACAGTTGCGACATATCAAAGTTTTTTAAATTGCTTAATTGACGCATTCTACTGGAATAAATTCTTTTCACAAATCTTATGATAACCATTGTAAAATATGAACGTTTCTTTGCAAATAAGAAAATTAAGAAGTGTGCATGACTTTGTTCCGCGGCATATCAAATGTACCGATGATGAATTTTTAATCAGTTACCGTTAGCATTAACATTACCGATGCGTACCACGGGGAGGTTGCTGGTCGGGTTTTGCGCATTATGTGTGTGTGTGTGTGTGTGTGTGTGTGTGCACGTCACAATAATTGATTAAAAATGTATAGGTAACTTTGATACACCGTACAACATCGCAGAAGAAATGTATACCTCTTCTTTATTTTTCTATTTGTAAGGAAACGTTGATATTTTAGAATGATTATCGTCAGATTTGTGAAAATAATTCATTCCACTCAATAGAGTGCGTCAATGAAGTGATAACAAAAACGTATAGGTAACTTTGATGTTTTTTTCGCAGCTCCGCGAAAAAAACGCACAAATTCGCTTTTTGTCTTAATTGTAGGGAAAAAACTATACTTTACGATGGTTATCATAAAATTTACAAAAAAAATTTATTCTATCCCGTAGGATACGTCACATTGTGCAATTTTTTGGAAACGCAACACGTCTTTACTTGTGAGAAAACTGCGGAAAGGGGAGAGAATAATTTCAAAATATCTGACTAATATGCTCCTTAAAGTACAGACTTCACTTTTGAAATAAAAAAAAAAATTTCAAATATGATAATGTTTCGCGGTAATATGCTTATTAAAAATTGTGCGACATTTCGACATAAATTAACCTATGCGATAATTTTGTTGACGAGTGTATTTTTTATGTGTAAAAAAACATTCCATTTAATGTAACAATTAGTTAAATAGTAAAAGTACGCACACGTGAGAAGCAACACGCGAGCGTCGAGATATAATAAAAAGGCCTAGGCATGATTCTCGCCGCTTGCAGTATAGCTATAGGTCGGGAGAGAGAGGGCAGCTTGTACGTCTGCACTCTTCCACCGCCCGAGCCTGGCCGAAGCGCCAAGCGCTATAGTTCGTGACAGGCAGCCCACACGTACACAGTTCTTCGCTTGTGTGCGCTGCGCCGCACGCACTATAGTTACGCGTACTCGGCCCCACATGTGGCAGCTCTGGGCGCGACGCGTGAGTGAAAACAATGGCCGCATTCCGCGACGCTATTTTGGGAAGCGATATCGCGTGAACGTTATCCCTGCTTCGCGTCTTCTTATCCCCATTCCGCGACCAGACAAGTCGTTTACCGTAGCGACGGCCATGCGATCTCCTATCACACCGATCATTCACCTCAGATACAACATGAGAACATAGTACGCCAGCAGATGGCAGGCTCGGTCTGGCGCTAATAGAGTCACTATAAGCAGAGTTTGGCCAACAACTGCGGTTTCGTCAAAATCCTGCAGTATTGGAGACTATATAGCGCGTACATTCCCTTAATATAAAAATGTCTTAGAACTAATACTTACAGAAATATATATAAACTTAAGGGACGCATGTAAAAGTGCATCCCTATTCTAGGGATTCTATTAGAGCCTAGAGTCACTATAGGAAGAGTTTGGCCAACAACTGCGGTTCCGTCAAAATCCTGCGAGGGAAAGGGATATATGATCTGTCTCTCCTTTTCTATCTCTACTTCACCTAAATAGAAATAGAAAAGGAGAGACAGATCATAAGGTAAATGTCCCTATTTGTGACCATGTAAGATAATCTCATGAGTTAATAAGAAAGAAAAGTACTGTAGAGTGATTAAAATCAAAAAACGATTATACATATAATCGTTTTTTGATTATAACAGAATTCAAGATTAATCATTTTTGTATCGAAAAATATGTTTTACTCAGGTTTTAAATATAAATCTGATAAATATCAAAAGAGAAATTGCAAAGTATGTAAATGCACGTATTAGTGACCGCCTGATTGAAATTTGGCCCTATTAGTGACCGCCGTCTGTCCCGGTTAGTGACCGGTGCGCATCAGATCGAATGTACCATTTAGCAACCGGCAGATTAATTTTCTTGTTACTTAGAAACTGAAATTGGAGAAGAATGTAACATCAATAATAAAAAGAATTATTAAGCTATATTTTCATATAAATGTTTTATTTATAATATTCATAAATAAAGAACCAGAAATTATCTTTCATTTATAGTAATCTTAAATAGAATATCATAGAAATCATGTTTTATTTTTTATGAAACAAAATATTATGCATGTTATTTCCCACGTCTATTTCTCCTGCTTGATTTATTATTTTTTTTGGGTGGCTTTTTCGGCTTGTTGCAACGATTTTTGCTTTTTTTTTCTCCTCTATTGCTTGCTTTTTTTTCTCTACCGTTTCTTGACGTTTTCTTTTTCTGTTTTCGATCCCAATTAAACGTAGACTTTTCTCCGTTTCTTTCGCTCGGTGATATTCTTGCCAGGCCAACGAAGTGGCAACTGAAGGCACTTTGACTTTAAGAGCACGTTTTTTCACTGTTGAATCGTTTTTACGGGGCCAAAATATAGTCTTTTTGAAAACATCTGGGATATCAGAAGGAATGTCCAAGCTATCTGAGAGATAATAGAGATTAGACAAATCATATTCAATTTTTTAATGAAATATCACTTAACATGTATTTATATTTACCATTGTCATTGACGATAGTAGACATTGAAACTGGTTGCGTATCTAGGTTGCACATAGTGGCATTGATATTAACATCGGATGTTCTGAAAAAGTAATAAGTTAATATTGATTATGTACTAACCGTTATTACTGCATTTGTGATAACAAAAACTTCAAACACCAAAATTTATTATAATCACGGTACAAAATTATGAAAAAGGTAACTTGTAGCACGTTTCACTCGCAATTCATTTCGTCAACGCGAGTCATCTCACCATACAAATACGCCATTTTGAGCGTGGCTCAAATGGCCAGACTATCTTCTAGGGACTTTAACTTTAGGCGCTAACATCTGAGCCGAGATCTGACGTCGATGCTTTAAGGCTTTTATTCGCGAATGAATCAATGTAACGGCATGAAATAGAAAGCAATCTTTTTAGCACGCGTTCCTGCACGTGTCAATACTGCCTTTTTATTGCCCATTTGGAAGAGTTGAGTGTCGTGATCATTAAAGCACAGCGAATCACTCTCACACGAGCAACACGCAATCTGTTTCATTCGCAATCAAATTGTTCAAATTCCCTTTCATTTACCTCGTTTATAGTAACAGTGACGAGGTTAATATTGTCACTGTGGATTGAATTAAATTAATAATTGTTAATTGCAAAATGGTAGAGGACCTTTGTTCAATTTTGATTGAATGGGTTCTATATCGCACACGCGCTTTGTGTTAGACGTTCTGCACGGAGAGAATATTATAATTCTTTTCTCTTTTTCATATAAATTCTTTTTAATTTTACTATATGTTTTTAATAGTTTAGGAATATCAGTAAAATTAATTTTGCTAAGAAATATATTAAATTTCGTTAGAAACATATCGAGTGTTTTAATAGCACATTTCAGTTTCTAAAATATAAGTAGCACATGCGAAATGAAAGGACTGTAAATTACTGCAGAATTTCCAAGAATTTATTCCTCGGTTACAAAATCCTATAGTAATTTTTGCTGTAAAATTCCCCCCGTGTGTATACAGTTCTAACGTTAACGAAAAAATATAATATATATTTATATAATATATAATATATATAATATTTATAATATATATAATATATATAATATATATAATATATATAATATATATAATATTATAATATATAATATATAATTTATAATATATTTATATAATAAAGAATAATAAAATAAGAATAATAAAAGAATAATAATAATAATAAAAAGAGACAAAACTCTTTTTACCTATCCATTAATTATACAGGATGACTTTATGTGCTTTAGATGGAGGTAGAACTTATTAACCCTAGAACTCTAAACATTAAAAAGTTACGTAAAGTTTAAAAACGAATCAATTTAGCCGGTGCATTTTTATTTGCTCATAACTTTCGGAAAAATGATCGAAATTCGACACTTGTTTGTAATTGCGGTGCATGAAACATCGGGGAATATGATACGATTAATGTTTCTGCGATTCACACAATAATGTTGAATAAAAAATTAAATAAATTGAATAAAAAATTAAAATGGAGAAACAAAAAAATCATGTTTTCTCGTGAATAGTAACGTTTCAAAAACTATCGACATACAGTGTGTTTGACAATTGTTTCTTGAAATATTAAATGGATCTGCGTGAAATTGATACCAACGACATTGAAAAAGACGACGTCAAATACATTATTAAAATACTCATGTGTATAAATTAACGAAGTTTTGACGTCTATTTGCTGCGGCGTCTTTCCTCGCGCGCGCGCGATTTATAAGCGCGACCTATGCTCGCCCCTAATTAGCGGTTGTCGACACATTCGCTCTCCCAAGGTCGGCGATTTTCACCCGCGGTGTCGTTTCCTAGATCCGGCGAGACTTGCCTCGCGAGATTGGTAAAAAATCGGCCGTGCTCTCCGATCACGCCTCGGTTTCGCGAGGATTGAAGGTGAAATGGCGAAAGCGCGCGCGGCGGCACACACCGTTATAGCGCATTAAGTGCACTCATCGTGCATGTCCGCGAGTACATATCGACGATCGATCGCGCGCGATGTTTATTGCCCGATTGAAATTCACCGACAGAAATATGGTGGGCGGCTTTGCCGTCCGGCTAATCGACCGCGCGTTTCCGCTTTGATTGAACTTCCCGCGTTCCCATTTGTATTTGCATAGTCGTGATTGGTACTGCGAGACTGCCTGCTGATCCGCAGTGCTTTTTTCTTTCGCGCGGAACGTATTTCTTCGAGTATCTTGATCTTTTAGAATTTAATGTCTCGCACAGATTGCTTTTGATATGTAGTGCGGGTAGTTTTTAGATGTCAAACTGGACAAAGTAGAAACGTCAAGATATACTTGAGCGTTCTAGATGCAAGATTATCATGATTCCCGACTAGAAATTTATTCCATTATCCTAATCAGGTTGATCCTAATCTGGTTATCTGGCTCAGTATACGGTATTAGATGATTAGGGATAAGTATTGGGTGGTGTTATCCGATCCTAATTATTAATAAGGTCTCGATTATCAATAATCCTTATTCTTAATAAGATCCTGATGGCCACACTGCGTTACATGACTTATCAGAACCCGTTAACATCAGTTATTTGCACAAACCAAATAACTGATTAATCACTTGGGGTCAAGCTGGGTTATGGAAATCGTCCGCTCGCGGGGAGAATCATGGTGGGTGTATTTTTTTGCGCGCTAAACAGATTTCGTTCCGTTGTCAAACAATAGTGTCAAAACATGACAATCGCGTTTAATGGGGATGCAGAGACGGTAAGCCGGTGTAAACGATGCAATTCGCGATAGCGAGGATGCGTGTGTAACGGACCTGTACAACTTTCTTAATTCAAGATTGTCATAGTGTGAAGTAACAAGTCACGTTTCACCGCGGTGGCTTTTGCCAGTGGCCGTCTTGTAAGCTTGTATCTTATACGGGAGAAATGTATTAAGCGTCAGCCGGGACTCCCGCGGTTTGCGTTACGCGTAATAACTTGATTGGTCGGCGGTGAAAGGTCGAATCACCAAAAGTAATTCGCAAATGCATCGCCCGGCGAAATTGACCTCGAGTCGTCTTTCACCGTTAACTCGCATCACCGGTTTGTCCGGCCGATGAATCGGAGCTTTGATCGTTATATTAAGGCGGTAGGCGAGAAATTCACCAGCGCGCACTCAACTCGCGCGCGCGCGCGCACAAAAATGCACGCGTGGAGTGCATTCACGACCAGCTGCGAAATTTTTATTCACGCCGCGTTTGCAAGCAGCAAAACGCAATTAGCGCATGGACAATTGGTAATAATCAAGCGCGATCGAGGCGAAAAGGCAGATGTGGCTTTCTATTCAAATAAATTAGATTTACGATGTCGGTTGCGCGAAAATCGGGCCAGCGGGAAGGAAAGGAACGTCCGAGCGCATCACACACCGTCATGTTGGATGGTATATCGGTATCGGACACCCTGCGAGCTGCTGATTGATCGCTTCATCTTGCAACAAAACCCCCGCTGCGAATAGAGTTTGCCAAAGCTTAGAGAGACTTCTTCTTCGACTCTGTGCCGATTAAAGAATGTACATTGAAAGATCATAAAAAGGCACGGCGCAAATGAACAGCCGTACGGTCCGAGCTGATTGAAGGTTGCAACTCTTTCCCTCGATGAGTTTCATAACGCATCCCGTGTCCAATAGGAGAATTAATTTTTTCTCCGTAATTCTCAGGAGATCAATTTTCTCATTGGATACGGAATGTGTTGCAAAATCGCTCATCGAGGAAAAGTGTTGCAACCTTTCATCGACCGACTGTACACAATCGTTCACGTAGGCCAAGACGAATCGGATCAAAATAAACTTTGAGACAGTTGTCGTTAGGTTTTTGCTTCAAACGCACTGTTTTATCGTACCATTTACCTCCTCTGAATTCTCTTTTGTCGTTAAAAGCACTTCCAAAAGTGACTTGTAGCCAAACAGAAAAGCCACTTTTAGAGGCGCTTTTAGCGGTAAAAGGGAGTTCAGAATATGAGACATCGAAGTGTGACACCCCTTTTTATTCCGCGGAACAGCGGCAACTGGAGAAGCACGAACGTTTCGTGCGATCAGCCGGCCTCACATAGATCGATGAGTCCGGTAGTGCGTATCGGTGTCCGCCGCAGCCAGGCACGCCGCGACTAATAATTAATAGACGATCGCCGCTTGCGCGCGAACGAGCGCGGCGAGCTAAGGAACATCCCGGTGGCTGGCAAGCCGTCGTGTATGTATCGTGTATCACGTGGGACGGAGAGTCACGAGCGGCAGATCGCAGGACGATAGGATCGCGGGGGATCTCTCGTTGATCCAGTTGTGCACCTGACCGCATTTCCGCATGAGTTATGGACGCGCATCAATCCTTTCACCCCTCCCTGCCCCTCCCGCTCGCTCGCTCACGGAGCCGGCGTGATCGTCGGTCTCCTCCTGCCTGCCTGTCTGGCTGACTGGCTGGCTGGCTGGCTGGCTTGGCTGGCTTGGCCTGCCTGCCCTCCCGCCGCCGACACGAGCCACCCTCGTTTCTGGCCAGATGGTAACGGTAACGGCTTCGGCGAAACGTCCCTCATCGCTATCGCTCGCTTCGCTTTTCCCCTCCGGGACGAAGATCCGCAGCTGCAGTTTACCGACCCACTTCCGAGATCGTATCTGCCATCCGAGTCTCTGTGTTTTTCTTTTCTCCGCCGCCGCCATCGCACCTTCTCTCCCTTGTCCATCCCCAATCGCATTCCTCTTATTTTTTCTTGATGTCGTCCCCCCTGGACCACCGGCTAGGATTTCCCGCCCTCCAGTGCTCGGTGTCCGGAAACCCTCTCTTCACCTCGACGTCGTCGGAGTAGTTTAGATCCTCGGGGTCTCGATTTGCATAATTTAGGCGCGGGAGTCTCGACGCGAGACCCAGTCGGGGCCTGCGCGATAGATGGCGAACAGGAAACGAGATCGTGTTCTGCTGCCCGCCGGATTCGCTCGGTTACTTTGTTCTGCATTGTCGTCCCTTATTTCGATGTGATTAACGACGCTCGGCGAGATATCTTAATGGGGTTCTTTTACGAGTGAACACGTCGATTGATTGATGAAACCGGGGTGCTGCGCCCGGT